AAGCGGCTGCGCTGTTCGCTTTAGCTCCACGGTAGTGACTTTGGATAGCTGCGTTTGTTAGTCGCTCAGTTGTGGCCGGCTAAGGCAGGAGCGCCACTAGAAAAACTTCAGCTGGTCCTTGTATACGATGTTACGAAGAGGTGGAAATTGATGGCAATGCCGAGTAAAAGTGGGTATCATTAAGTTCAAGTACATGTCTGGATAAGAGGTACAGTATCATGGTTCGCGATGCCGACGCAGAAGCACAAGTATGCTTTGCTTAATCATTTCTTCACAATGCGCAAGAGAGGAGCGATCCTCGCTCGTTTGCTCAGCCCGACACGGTATGGCACCTTGCCAGTGTTCGCTGGCGATGCAGTTGTAGGTTTTATTTTTCGTTCTGGAGTCTCTGACGCCGCAGCTGGAGAGGGTTTCGCTGGTGGTTTCGAATGGCTGGCAGTCGTGGTATCCGTAGCGTCTGGCGATTTCCCGTCATCGGTATCATTGCGTGTGAGTTTAGAGTCTTGCTCTATCTCCTCTGGATTGGACCCGGGCTCGGTCGTTTGTACAACTTCTTGTTGATGCTCTACTTCCACAGCTTGTTCTAATGGTTCTGGGTCAGGTTCTTTAGGCGAAGCAACAGGCGCGACCTTCTTGGGCCGACCGCGTGCCTTCTTCTTTGCAGGCGCGATCTCAGGCACGGTAGAGTCCGTCTCAGCAGGTTCGCTCTCGGCTGGATTTGATGTGGGCTTTTTGCGCTTTGCCTTCTTATTCGAGGCAGTGGTAGAGCTTGGGGGCTGCTTCGAAACGGCAAGTGGTGACTTCTTAGGTATCACTACCTGAACTTTCGTAGGCGAGCGCAAATCGGAAGTTGGAGTTTCTGTGAGGTCGATAGGCTCTGGTAGTATGGCATCATTCGCCACCGCAACATGAACCACATCCTGTGCAACGGCTTGCGTATCATCCCTCTGATACTGGTCTAGACTGCGCATAATATCTTGAATAGCCTCAGAGTCCATCGCCGGAGTTTCGTCGCTCTTGTTCATGACCGGCTTGGTTTTGGGTGGACTTGGTGGTGCAAGCTCGTCGTGGCCAACATTGTTAGTGACTAGCCAGTCGATGGTCTGTATGACGTCACCGTTGTTTTTCTTGAGGGCGCCAGAAGTCGTTGAAGGTGTAAATCCCATGTCGCAAATCTGCCGGACCTTTTCTGGTGTTGTAGGGTTGCTGGTATCGGCTGTAGCCGTCGTTTGTCGCCTTTTACTGACCTTTTTGGCCTTCTCGGGACGGACAGAATAGTCGATGGGCTGCTCCTCTTCAACCTTGAGCGATCTCGAGCGGCTGGGCCGTGGCTTGTATTGCTCCTTTGGCAGGCCAATATTCGCAAGATCGTCGTCGGAGCTGGCGACAGGCACTTGTGCGGATTTTGAACGACGAGGTGTCGTCTTGACTACCTTGTGTTCACCGCGCGGAGTCTTCTGTGGTGCAGTTGATGGTATATCCCAAATATCGGCAGAGCTGGCTTCAACTGGTGTCGCCTTTCGGTCGGCGTCACCGGCTCCATTACGGGAAAGTTCATTTCTCAAAGGGCTGCCTTTCAAAGGACCACCAGATCCGCGCCTGCTGCGTTGAGATGCGCTGTACTCATAGCCTCCCTGTGACGTCCGGACTGGCGTGGCTGACGGAGGATCATTTGAAGGGGGGTCACGATCAGATGATTCAGTCTGTTCCGTCGCGTCTGCCGGTGTGAACTTCATAAGATCTGACCAGGGTATTGAGGGCTCTGGTGGAGGTATGTAACGAGGTTGTTCACTGTCGATCTCTTGTCCTATCGTGAGTGGTGCATTGACAACATCGAGGATATGTTGCTGGGTCATAGTAGCGTTGGGAACGGTACTAGAAGGCTCAGGGAACATGGCCGGTTCGTGGAGGGCGTAGTTGTCGCGCATAGTTCCTTCTGGGAGCCATGGTACTTCTTGAGTTGATTCGAGGGCCGCGTCTGCTCGGCCCACAGGCGGAGCGTTGAACGATGGAGAACTACCGAAGATGGATTTCGGAGCCTTCCCATACGTGACGGGCCCTTTCTTAGCAGACACATCATTGAATGGTTTGAGCGGACTTGGATCAGCTGTGGTCTTTCTCTTCTTGTTTGGATGTTCAGGCAATGACACCGATGACTGAGGCTCTTCCTGGCTCGGCTGTGACTGGAGATGGTTCCGGTGCGCCTTTTCAATGGCTCGCTTCAGAGATTCTGGGCTGCATGTCAGCTCGGTCTGATGACATGATGCCGTGAACTCAGCCCTACCGGTGGATCCCGTGCCGTGGGTGTCATTGCTGAGTGGCTGTCCGGACGCGTCTGCTTGTTTGGGCGGCGGGAGGTCGCCCTCGAGATCGCCGTCCGACTCCTCATTAGAATCCTGTACAATGCGCGACATCGTTGTTCCCGCCGTGTGTCTTCAGGTAGATGCTTGGGTCGCAGAGGCGAGACTACCGGGGAGTGGGGTGGGGATCTTTCCGGGTGACCGCGCCAAATCGCGTAATCACGAGACGAGCTGCTAGCGCGTTTCTGATATTCGGCAGGCACCATCAACTTTCTGGCAGTCGCATCCCCCACCACATATCGTTCCGCCAACATGGACAGGTTCGCGTCCAGTTCAAGCGATCGCGCAGATGCGTCTGGCAACCCCCGCTTCACATCGCAGGCCGCGACAGCAGAAGACTTGCTAAAGGCGCAAACTGTCGGCCTGGTCAACCTCGACGACTACCGCAAGCGACGCGCCGACGCGTTGGACAGGAAGGAGCGAGGTGACACCGCAATCAGTTCGGGCGAAAACACACCAACAGACGGGTAAGGACGGTCGTTTCCAATTGGGAAGTATCCGCTAATTTGCAAAGTACAGGGCATCGACGCCAAAATCCGTCTTCAAGAAGAAGCGCAAAGTAGGCGGGAAAGGCAAGCTGTCATTTGGCATAGACGAAGACGAAGACACCGAATCCAATGTTTCCAAGACGCCGACCCCGCGCGAAAGCACACCCGCAGACGCTTCTGCCCTGGAAGCAGAACCCAAAGTGTTCAAGAAGAAGCTGGGCGTAAACTCGAACATCGGCCTCAAACCCCGCGTCATGACCAAGACGGCTCTCCAACGCGAAGCGCAACAAGCAGAGCTTGCGCGACAAGACTTCATCGTCATGCGCGACGCAGTCAAGGCGACGGAAGTGGTAATACCATTCGTCTTCTACGATGGCACCAACGTACCAGGTGGACGATGCAGGATCAAGAAGGGCGAACAGATATGGCTGTTCCTAGACAAAGCTAGGAAGGTCGGCGCAGAGCTAGGCGTAGGCGGTGACAAGAGTCGAAGAGATTGGGCTAGGGTCAGCGTGGACGACTTGATGCTCGTGAGAGGTGAAGTTATTCTGCCACACGTGAGTATCAAACCTGAACACCACGTATCGACCTATCAACTAACCCCGTGTCAGCACTACGAGATCTATCACTTCCTGTTTAACAGGGTCACCGGTTTCGACGGCCCCATCTTCGACTACTCGGCGCAACCCACCAAAGCCACCCCGAGCGCGACCGATGAAGACGCGGACGCAGATCCCGCTACCTACGATCCGCTTGCTCAGCCCCTTAAGAAGAAGAGCAAAGAGTCCAGCATACCAGATGAGGAACTCGAAGGTTACGGCGAAGACCCAGCGATAACCAAGGTTGTCGACAGGCGGTGGTATGAACGCAACAAACACATATTCCCGGCAAGCGCATGGACAGAGTACGCTCCAGACAAGGACCTGTCCAAGGTGCAGCGGAAGGATAACGAAGGCAACGCCTTCTTTTTTTCGTGAACCACCTGATGGTCCAGGAATAATCTCCAGGTCAGCCTAGGCCTGCTATTCGCCTAGTCCTTATCTTGGAAGCCCCGGCGCTCGATGGGTGGGCTAGCGGGAGGGGTCTACTGGCACGGGCGGGATCTGGAGAAGCCAGGTTCCCCAGAGCGGAGCGAGCTGCAGCACGACGCTTAAACGTGCCGTGTAGTCACTGAGGTATAATTGCGCGGAGAGCACATAGCCAGTATCAATGCAACCCCACCATCCACATTAATCAGTCTTCGATGCGGTGTGACACGGATCAGCTACCGTGCCCCCATATGCACTTCCATGCACTGCTAATGACATGCATCCCGCCACGGAAGGTAGTCGCGTGTATGCTTACCCGTGTTGGCCCCGCGGTGCACCCGCGCCAGACTCTTCACGACTGCTACCAGCACCATGCCTAGTTGTGTCGCGCTTCACACTCGCACAAGTTGCTCTATGCAGTGCCAAGAAGAAGCTTTTTCGCGTGCAATGTCCGTCGCGAGCCAAGCTGACAAACATACATGGTACACCGCCGTGACCCGCCGATGCGAGAGGCGCTGAAGCGTGACGCATTAGGATGTGATAATTGGGGCAGGGATCCACCGTTGAACCGAGACATTCAAAGCTTTGCAGCGACGGCGAGTATAAAGGCAGACGAGATTCTGCGCGCGCTGGCGGGAGTGACTGAACAAAGCGCTCCGTCGCCATACGTCATTGGGGATCACTGCGACGCACCAACCACGTCTCTTTTCATCTCAACGTCTTTCACTCACCCGTCCAGCTCCGCACCGATAACACTGACCAGCGATTCCGCCGCTCCAGTGTACTTCCCCTGCCTCGAGCTACGGCTTTCCCTACTTTTGACAGTCCGTTTAACCATGTTGCAGGCGCGCTTCTGTCGAGCTCCGTCTCCTCCAATGAGAATGGACGCCTCGAGCACACCCTAAAGATTCAACATTAACGCGTTGATTGCGCAGGTCGCATGGAATTGGCACTCTGGCTCTTGCCCTGTCGATCATTCAATACCTACCACTGCCTATATCTCGTTCCTTTTTCCGCCTCCGCTGCCTAGAGCTAGTCCTACATACGATTTAGAGCTACCCTCAAGCTCAATATTAAGCTCTACCCGGATCCAGTTGTCCACCGATTGTTGCTTCACCCTCAGGATGAAGTTCGGACACAACCTACCAAGGAACCAGGTCCCGGAATGGGCGGCGTCTTATATCAACTACAAGGGCCTCAAGAAGCTCATCAAGAACGCTGCTGAAGCTTCGAAAGATGGCTCGGCTCCAGATCTTGCTGGTACGTAGACATCAACTTTGCCAAGACTCATACCAAATACTCCATGGCTATGCTTCACCAAGCTGTTGTGGACATCTTGGATTCGTCACGAGCGCGTCAAGCCTATTGCGACTATTGAACTTCAAGTCGCTGAATACGTGGCTAACATTCACCCCAGAGTTCTTCTTCTCGCTCGATCGCAATCTCGAAGACGTCGACAACTTCTACAACCGCAAATACGCCGAAAACGCACGACGATTGAGGCTCCTACATGGCCGCTACGGACGAGTCGCACAATTGCCCGACGGCATCGACAAGGATGAAGCGCAGGATCTCATGGGTGCGCTGCTCGAGCTGCGCGGTTCAATGCGGAAGCTTCAATGGTATGGAGAGGTGAATCGTAGAGGCTTCATCAAGATCACAAAGAAGCTGGACAAGAAGATTGAGACAGTTTGTCTGCAGGAGCGCTACTTGGCGTCGAAGGTCAACCCAAAGCCTTTTGCGCATAACCTGCCTCTAAATCAGGATATGAAGGCAGTCAACGAGTGGCTATCAGGGTTGAGCGACATCAAGACGTTCGATGACACGGGCTCCTCCCATTCGGCGGCCTCTCTGGGCAGAGTTCCAGGTCGCTCGTTACACCTTCCCGCGGGCCTGCTCGACGCTGTGGATACGGCTATTCGGGGCGACAAGGTCGAAGATCTCAACCAGAAACTCACAGAAGCTGCTGCGAGCAATGGCATTTCGAGTGCTTCATTCCAGCAAGTACTCCTGAACTTCCTGCAACGCGCCATCTCATGCCGGGCAAAGTCGTGTATCGAGAGATTACTCAAGGACATTATCTCACTAGATGAGGAAGACGACATCAACAAGCGCAATTGCATCCACCGACTTGTCATCAATATCGGCCGATCGAAGACTGGCGACACGTTTGGTGCTGATGGAACCCTTCTCCAGAGCTCTAGCGAGACGCGCAACTTCATTGTGCCTGCGACGGATCCCAATCGCCAACCTCGCCCTTGCACCACCACCGAAGAAGAGTCAACGCAATTACTCAGCGAGAACGATGAATCGGTACGGTTACTCATCTACCTCCTCGATCAGCTCCAGGCTGAGCAACGCAACGCGCTCCAATCTCGCGACTCCTATGGCAGATTCCCGCTCCATTATGCTGCGCAATATGGATTTGTCGTCATTTGCCAGGTCGTTATGAAGCACATGCAAGACTGGGGCCAATTCGACGTCGCTCAGGGAATCGACTCCGCTTACTGGCAGGATGCTGAGGGTAACGCTCCTTTGCATCTCAGCGTAATGGGCGGACATCCGCTCACCACAAAAGCCCTCCTCGATGCGGAAAACTGGCGCGGTACCACAGAAGAACGCCTTACATCTCGTAAAACCATCGCGAGATCAGGGGCAGCCTTGACCCTAGCAACCCGGTCCAACTTCGTAGACATTGTCAAGCTCTTGGTCGAAGCGGGTGTGGACGTGAACTACCGGGATGAGGGCGGTGAGACCGCATTACACATGGCGGCACGCTACGGTTACGACGAGTGCGCCAAGGTCCTTTTGGGAGGATCCAGTGTGAATAAGGCGGAGGTCGATGTCGCCGAGAAGACATTCGCTTGGACGCCACTGTTTATTGCTGCTGTCGACGACCATCTCTCCATGGTGGAGATTCTTGCTGCGGCCGGAGCTGATCTCCAGAGGTGCGACAACTCTGGCTGGACAGCAAAGGAGCACGCCACGCTCCGTGGTCACATTGCGGTAGCGATCAGACTAGGGGAACTTGCTCCTGCGACAGAGCCGCCTCTTGTCGCGCCTAAGGATACGCGTATTGCTCGAGCTGGCTCGCCTACACAATCCTCCCTTGACGAGCGAAGGTCTAAGAATCTAAATCGGGACACCAATACGCCTGTTCAAAAGGCGCCCGAACCCGTGAAGACATTTGGCCATCGTTACTTGACCAAAGAGACAATGATTCTTGTCAGCCTTGGTTCAATGGACGCCAGGAAAGATGTGCCCGCCGTGAAATTGGACGATATCCCTCTTGCCGATGCACACGCGACGCAACTCGATACCGCTCTGTCTGTGGTTGTTAATGCGTCTGGCGCAAACGGAGAACCCTCGGTCATTGACTTGCCCATCCAGGAAAACATTGCGACTGAGCCAATCACCTTCATGACCAGCGATGCCACTAAAGTCAAGCTACTTTTCGACATTATCCCAACATATGCGGGTTCTCAAGAGCGTGTAGTGGGACGAGCTGTGGCCTTGCTGTCGACCATCAAGACCAGTATTGGATCTAAGCGCATCTCGCTCCAGGGAGACATGAAGGTACCAATCGTGGCTGCCTCGACACTGGACGTTATTGGCACAGTTAACTTCAACTTCTTGATCATTACGCCCTTCCACCACCCGAGCATGTCGATCACAGAACAGCATACCTACTGGAAGAAAATGGCTGCATCGACCATGGTCATCGGCCACCGCGGTCTAGGAAAGAACACCGCCTCACGTACGTCGCTACAACTCGGCGAGAACACGATTCAATCCTTCATTTCCGCTGCCAACTTGGGTGCCGAGTACGTGGAGTTCGACGTTCAGCTAACCAAAGACCATGTGCCCGTCATCTATCACGACTTCTTGGTTAGCGAAACTGGTATTGATGCCCCCGTACACACGCTTACATTGGACCAATTCCTGCACATCGGCGAGGGCCAGAAGCCACGATCCTCTCGCGCTGGATCACCAGAAACTGTGCCTGTCCTCAACGGTGCAAATGGCACAGACGACAAGCCCAACACCCGGAGACTCCGATCATACTCAGTCGATAATTCGAAACAGCGCAACATTCACACTGATCGTCAGAACGAGCTCGCGGAACGAATGAAGTACACCCGCGACTTTATGAAAAAGGGCTTCAAGGGCAACAACCGTGGCACATCCATCCAGTCCTCATTCACAACTCTCGACCGCATGTTCGATGAGTTGCCTGAATCAGTCGGTTTCAATGTCGAGTTCAAGTACCCTATGCTTTACGAGACAGAGGATGAGGAGATGGACCAGTACGCTGTTGAGCTGAACCAGTTCGTCGATACAGTGCTGCAGAAGGTGTATGACAGGATGGGCCAACGGAACATTATCTTCTCATCTTTTAACCCCGATGTCTGCCTGATGCTATCCTTCAAGCAGCCCTCAATCCCGGTACTCTTCCTGACCGATGCGGGAACTTTGCCCGTGGGCGATGTGCGAGCGGCCAGTCTACAGGAAGGCATCCGGTTTGCTAGCCGTTGGAATCTTCTGGGAGTCGTCACCGCTGCTGAGCCCTTGGTCATGTGCCCGAGACTTGTCAAGGTGGTAAAGGAAAGTGGTTTGGTGTGCGTCTCGTATGGTATACTGAATAACGATCCTAAGAACGTCCTCGTAAGTCACTCCCTCATAGGCTTTCACTTTAGGCAACATTTGCTAACAACAACACAGCTCCAACGAAACGAAGGCATCGACGCCGTCATCGTAGATAGCGTACTGAAGGTCCGCCAAGGACTCCAAGCACCGCACCAAGACTCCACCAACGGCGTCGTCAACGGCGCGTCGCTCGTCGTTCCGTCCGAATCGGTGCCTACGATTAAGCAGGCGGATGAGGTCTTGCAGAACGGCGCTGAGAGCAAGGCGGCCGCGAACGGAGTAGTGTGAACACCGGGGACGCAGTTTCAACAATGGGTGGCTAGCGTTGGATTTCATAGAATTGGGCGTGTTTGATCCCTAGGTAGTCCCTCAACGGGCTTGGATTTGGTCCGTTTAATCGATTGCTCGCTAAGCATAACCACGTCCTCTCGTCATCGCTATGTTCCTCGGTCCTTTCTCCCCCTCCAACATTTCGTACAGCCTACCTACCATCACAGCTAGGCAATCTGGGCCATTGCCCATTCATCCAAACTGTCGTCGCTATGACGACCCACATCTTCATCCTCATAATCCTCATCCTCCTCAGACCAATGGGTCCAACCATCCGGGCGTTCACTGTCACTATACGCACTGCTGTTCGTATAGCACGGCATCGAATAGCCGCCCGAATCCTCGCTTCTAGTGTCACCGGCTTCTTCTGGCCCATAGATATATCTTCCAACATGTAACAGCTTCTCGAATGATGTATAGCCCCATCTCGCTCTGTATTCCTGCAGATTTCGAGCGAAGTCCATTTGGTAGTGCTTGTTGATGCGGGTGTAGCGGAGGAGGATGTGCGATTTGTAGTGGGTTTTTGGGTTGTAGCGGCCGTGGATGTAGATGTTTGTGGCTTTTTCCTGGAAGGGGGTGGGTGTTAGTGTGGCTTTGGTAGAAAGTTGTTGGGAGGGTTGTTTGGTAGAGGCGAGGAGAGTGTGGCAGGGGTGAGGAGAGTGTCGTAGCATGCACCTAGGAGAGCGTACAAACCTTTTCCCATTCCTCTTTGCTGAGGTGGAACAATGGCGGCGTCAGAGTCAAAGGCGAAACGACATCTAAGTAAAAATCCGAATCACTTTCGCAGCCACTGTATGTGCCGTTGCCCCAATAGCGGTCCTCGTAGCCGTCATCCACTCCTGGCTCAAATTTTACTTCGACATTACATCCGGCGTGGATCATGTCATACACCGGCTTTCGTATGGTTTCCAGTACATTCATGAACCTGCGTTCGTAATCCCGCCTGGAAGTAACGTCTTCCTGGGTTTCTTCATAGTAATCGTCATTGTATCCAGACATCTTGATGATGATGCAGAGCTTCAGCGACGAAGACTCTCTCTTTGCCTGGAGAAGAGCAAAGCCCGCTTCCAGCTTCTGGTACAGATCATTAAGGTTTCTTTTCTCCTGCGCTATACTTTGTTCCATGGCTGCGTTCTCAATGAGTCGGCCGTGACCGTCTGCTCCTGCCTTAGTCACAAGACAGTCGCTGATCTTGTCATTATTGATGCGAACATGTAGGGTTCGGATGTGCATGTAGGGTTTAACGCCCAGGTGGAAGATGTCTCGAGTGAGAGTATCCCTTAGAGTTTGGAATTTGGCGATGATGTGCTGTTCGGAGTAGTAGTACTCTACTGCCTCGCGTGCGACTTCCACGCCAACGTAATGTTGGCTGTATATGCGCTGTATCGATAGCACCTCGGCATTTTTGCGTTGTGGGAAGTCGGGCACGCGGTGCAATATGCGCTCTTTGATGGCGTATTCGTAAATAATATCCCGTAGTTCGCGCGGCAACTTGGCATACATTTCGGTGGCTAGGCGATGGCAAGCCTGTCGCTCGACTTGGGCTTTGGTCTGCCGCTTTTTGTAGTGTTTCTTTCTGCACAGACGTGAATATTCCGGAAGGCGGCGACGACGATGCAGGGGTCAGAATACCTATGTGGTTTCGTGGCCCCGTCGCCCCGACGTGCACCATCGAGACGATTGCCCTTCGGAGGCATCGCTGCGCTATCTTTTGCTTTTTGCTACTTGAGAACAGGTCCGTTAGCGCTTGTCGATAGATCTCAAGATTAACAGGAGAGCGGTGTGTGGCGCGTGCCCTGTGGTCCGTGCGTTTACGCGTCAAACATTCCATCGGACAGACGCAGGCCAACATTGCTAATCATCCACATGGTCCTATATTTCCAGGCACGCGTTTCAGGACTACGAGAAGACGAGTAAGTAACGTGTTTTTGTCTCCTGGCCTCTCATGACTAAAAGCCCCATTGCTCCATGTCGTCATAAGTGGCTTCGTAGTCCCTTTGTGGACCTGAGTCGTCGCTAGAGTAGTGTCTATCGTAGTATGGACTAGGAACTGGTTCATCGTCCTCATCGTCCTCATATTCCTCAATCTCTTCGACATCGTCATCCCACTCGCTCCCAGCATAGGTGCTCGGCCCCGACGAAAACCCATCCTCGTTTTCGTCATCATCCAACTCCCGACGCCGCCCGATGTTTACCAGCTTCCTAAATGAAGTGTACCCCCACGTCTCTCTGGAGCGAGGAAGGTTTTTGGCAAATATTTTGCTGTATCCGCCCCCGTCCCATAACTTTTGTATATACTTCTGGCCGTAAGGGCATAGGACATATTCATCACCCCAACGTGAGTATCTGGCTTTCTCCTAGTCCAGAAAATTAGTGCGATGCTTTTCGATTGTCTTTTGTGTAATGATCTTGAGAGAAGGTTCAGTACATACCTTCTTCCAAGCCTTCTTACTCAGGTGAAAAAGTCCGGGTATAGGCTTCTGGAGAGGACCATCCTGCCCGTTACAAATGGCTTCCTTCCCCTCGTCCCATGTGATTATTACCCGCGCGCCAGCGTGTATCAAATCATATACAGGTATTTCGATGAATAAAAGTAGGTTCAGAAAGCCACGCTCGCAGTTTAGTATTTCCATGCGCGATTGCACATCCGGTGAATCCACGTACGGATAATCTCCCAACTTCAACATGAGGTGGACGGTCAAGCTAGAAAGAGGTGCATCAGGATGACGTTTCATCAAAAGTGAGAAGCCCGATTCGAGCTTCTTGAAAAGATCCTTGAAATTTCTCTGTTCTTGCATGAGCAGCTCTTCCCGTTCCGTGTCAGCGTCGTCGTCATAACCATAGTCAACTTCGTACAATATCGGAACAGTAAGCGCCTCAATATCGAAGGTGATATGCACCATTTTCACCCACTGGTATGGGAAGACGCTTTCGTGGAGTTTGTTGTCCATGAGTGCTGGAACGAGTTGATCCACGTCACGGCACACGAGATGCGTCTGTCTGTTGAAAATAATCGCCGCTTCCCACGCAACTTTGTCACCCACGTAAGCAGGGTTATATATCCGCAGGAGTGGTTGGACGTAGGCATTTTTACCGGTTTTAGGGGCTCCTAGGTCGACTTGATTACGGCGTGCCTCTTCGAGAAGGATTTGGTATACCTTGCACCGTAAAACCCAGGGAAGTTTGGTGCGAAAAGCTGCCGCTAGACGAAGGCAAGCTTGCTTGTCACGTTTGACTTCTGCAAGCCAAGCTTTCTTGGGAATTCTCCTGCGATAGCGTCAACTTCCAGGTGACTTTGTTTGCATGTAGATGGCAATACTTTAGGGGTTTAGCAGCCTTGTTCCCTCGCCATATACAATTAGGATGATCGACCTTGGGAGGCATCGCTGCCACGTGATTAAAGGAAAAGACTGCACACCCTAGAGCCTACGTTGACGTTAGATTTTCTACTTTGCATGTTTGCAACTTAATGTAGGCTGCAAACCTATACATCTTCTTCCTTGTATAAGGTGCGGCGATTAGAGGCGCGTGTTTTTGTTTTTCTTTGTTGCTGACGGCAAAGTCGGCAAACCTTTCACGCTGAGCGTTCGAGATGAACGGGAGCAAGCGGTGTGTGGTGGTGGTCTGTGCAGAGACAGGGGGGAAACGCGTTGACGCGTCAAACGATGATTGGAGGGAGAAGCCAACGTTGCTATATACGTCACGCTATTCGGTGCCATCAATGCTTCGCTCTTCATCCTCGAAGGTACAAGCAACTATTGACGAGCCCAACAACTTCAGCACACAGCTCGTCTGGGTAGTTTGGAAGTTTTTGCATCGCGTCTTCCCAGCGGAAGTTCAACAGTGCTCGGATTATGGATCGATATTCCTCCCAGTGGGATCCCGAGTGGGAGGCAGAGTACCCAGAGGAACATTCAGAGCTAGATTCACAGCTGGAGGCGGAGTACTCAGAAGACCTTTCAGAGTTTTCCTCAGGTTGGGATTCGGAGCTGGAGTTCTCAGAAGAACGTTCAGAGGGAGACCCAGATGGGTTAAACCCATTACACAAGCGATGGAAATGGCGTCCAGTGCGCATGCTCCACAAGCGATTGAACCTCAAAGAGCCCTCTAAGTACAGCCACCTGCATACGGAATGGCGCCCACCCCAATTGACACCGTCACAGGGAACAACAAATCTTCAGAGCGAAGCGCGATCGCGAGCAAGTCCGTCAGATTGCGTCCAAACTATACGCTAAAGTGCCCCGAGAGGTACGAGATGAAGTATACCGGTACATTGTTGCTGACTGCGAGACAATGTATTTTGGATCCGGTCTGGGTGGTCTTAGTACGGCATCTGATGAAGAATTTGTCACATCAGACTACAAAGTATTTTGCCCATCTTACGTGGGCTACGAGGTTGCACGCGAAGCGGCGGAATGCTACTATGCTACCAACGTTTTCGAGGTGGGCACTCAAGCCATCTCGCCAGATTGGGCTTCAAAACGTCCGGGCTTACCGCAGTTGATGCCGCTACTGGCAGAGGACTGTTTCAACCTGGGTGTACTGCCGTACAAGTTTATCCGGCAGATATACATCAGGATCGTAGTCACTGATATCTGCCCGAGAATGCCAATTGGATCCGAGGAACTCTTGTGGAGAGAACTATCGAATCTCGGTAATTTACACAGTGACCTAGAGTCTGCGCTTTCGCTCGTGGAACATAAAGCTAAGCTTGACGTTCGAGTTCAGATCTCGCCCGACGAACCTCGATGGTATGGGGAAGCAAGAACGGAGTGGAAAGACTCTGGGCTGGACGAGATGGAGATTTCGCAGCGTATCGGGTTCCTGAATGTGGAGCGTAGCATTCTTAACGTGTTGGAGGCAATGAGAAAACCTCTTTACGATCTGAAATACGCTGGCTCTTCTATCACAATTATGTGCCAGACGATGTCGAGTGAGGATGATCGGAAGATGCAAGGACTATTTTACCTCACCGAAGAGGATTGGCAAAAGGTCAGTCTGCACATATCTCATGTGAGACCATGCTAACCATGACGAAAGGAGAAGGAAGAGCATACACTGCAATCGGGATACTATCGACCTTACCGAAACTTCATCGAACAAAGCATGCTAGCAGACGGTCCGCTCAGTTACAAAGAAGAATTTGCCAACAATCTACCTCAATTTAGGCGCAGGTGGGGCTATAAAGACTTCCAGAAATTCATGTCTCCTCCAGAAGACGATGGTTACTACGACGATGCGTATGAAGAAAGAGAAAGCGAGGACGAAGACGGAGACAGCGAGGACGAAGATGGAGACAGCGACGATGAATATGGAGGAAAGCAACCCAAACATGGAGCTAATTATCCGCCCCTGGAGATGTATCCTAGGGAGATGATGGAGCGCATACAAATGATGAAGCGCTTAGGGGGACCATCATGGGGTGTGCTACCCGAAGAGAGAGCGTAAATACGGGGTCGGGAGTATCGAAGAAACAATTGTCAAATACAGTCTTGTCAGGTTCGCGGCATTGCGCTCGTTCGCGCCAGGCAAGTCGGATTAGTTCTTCTCTACTAGAAAGTCAGTTCTTATCACGTGTCGTTCTGCATACGAAAGAAAAACCTTTGTGACAGCAATTAGCAGTCTTCAGGTAGCCGCGATTCCCAGTATCGGCGTTCTTCAACGTCGTTGTGATGAGGATAATCCTTATCGTGACTACTGTCGTCAGACGGTTCCGAGAGCCGATCAGACAATTCAGGGTACTCGTCAGACATCTCCGCTTGGCACCTGTATTCGTTCGAAGTGATCTTGCATGCAATTGAACAAGTGCTGAGTTGATGAGACGCGATATCTTGCGATGAGAGAGGAAGGTGCGTCAATCTAAGCACAACTCAAGGGGTGAGACAAAGATGTCCGTGCATCGATGCACGGGCGACTTCGGAATTGTTCCGCATGACGCGAGTTGGGTCGGATGTCACTGCGACACCGCCAATGTGGGCGCAGACCAGCCGCATCACTCCTACGAAACGCGTACCTTCGGCCTGACGTTCTCGCTAACATCAAAACCAGCATCTGCAGCCACCTTCCCAAAAAGAAAAAAAAACAGCTTCATGGCCGTCGGTCAGTGTTCCAGTAAAATATTTCGACAAGCGACCGATGAGCTTTTTTCTTCCAGGTCGTCCTCGAAGTCAGTCTGATCGAATGCATGAGAGCGATATGATCATGCGCCATATCAACTACCCCATATGTAAATCCAAAGAGAGCGCATGGCATGATTGCGTCTCGCCCAATGCGCTGTTGCACGTGAGCCTGCGAACCGGCTATAAAATTCGCACTTCGTTGCGACTTCCCTCATCAACAAACTTTCTCAATAATATTACCAAAATCGCTGGGTTCTTCGTCCATGGAGTGTCTCTGACCTTTTGGGCTCTTTCAAAATATGCGCGGTTCCAAGCGATGGGTCTTCGCAGTCTCCCCACTTCCCAAAAACGTACCCAAAATGCAAATGAGAACAAGTGGATGGCCTTCTGCGCTCTTCAAGGGCTCACAACCCTATAAACTTCCTAGCCCCATGTCTGCGCGACTTTGATGTATCAATCTACCGCAGTGTGATCTCTCGTCCCCTCATATCCACTATTGCACTTTGCGCTACCAAAAGACGTCTTCGCAAATTACATGAAGAGGACTGCTCTTCCACAAAAACCACTCTCCACAACAACCATGGTCGGCTCTTTCTTTCGCGTTTCCGAAACTGAACCAGATCAGTCCTATGAGAGCCCGCCTTCGGCGTCGACCTACTGCTCAAAGGATGCATTCCAAAACTCATGACCAGCGCCAGCTCTGCGTTGTCATTCTCCTAGTCGCTCGAGGTATAAATACCTCTTCTCTGCACTGTCTCTCATTCCCAAACACTCCTCGTTCCTTTCTCTACTCTCCAAAAGTCGCTGGGTCTGAGTCTGATGGAGAAGTTTGTCTGTTCTTCTGGAAACTGGCAGAGGAAGCATCCATGTCCTCTCCTGCTCTCTAAACTCAAAAACCTCGAGAAAAAGCTTGATGGCAGGAAATGGCCCACAAAAGCCCAAGCCGCTATTCAGATACGAACAAAAGAACAAGATGTGTAGCAGTCGCTGCAAATCGCGCAAGTCTCCATCTTTGCGAGCCGCCGTCTCAAAGTTGATGACTGTATTATCATGAGACAGGCCTTCTCCCTTACATCCAACATTCTACTCTCCGTTCTCAAAGCTATACGCAAAGTTTGGATGGCAGCACCCTTCTTCCTGTCTCATAATAGATGTTCAAAAGACAACATGAGTCTCGTTCTTCTCTTCTGCCCTTCCCAAAAGATCGAGCGGCTTAAGGGATGAAAGCGCGGTCGCGCGACGGAAAAACAGCCTGCGGGTACGAAAACACATGAAGAGAGGAGATGATGTGGGCAGCGTCTTCTTGGCTTGTCTATAAAACGATTCCTTCGGTCGCTGTGTCTCTCTTCCATCTTCATCCAGCATTTCTATCCCTCTTCCCAAAACTGGCACAGTCGCGATTCATGGAGAATTCTGCCTGCGTCTCAAAATCTACTACCAAGGCACCGATGTGTTCGCCTCTTCTTCCTCGCGTTCTCAAATTGTATCCGCAGTCCAGAAATGACACTGTCTTCCTTCCACAAAAATGGTACCTCAATATAAAAAAAGAAGACCAACGCTACGATGTATGCGCGCTGCCCGTGCGTCGCCCATCTATAAAAGCTTCGTCTGCGACGGCTCCTCTCTTCTTCTCTACATCCACACTTCTATTGTGGTTTTCCAAAAACAGTTTTCGTTTCGAATCATGGTGTTTGTGCCTCTTCTTCCAAAATCCACAGCTTGGGGGTTGTGATGAGAGCAGGACTCCGCCTCTTCTTTCCAAAAACTTTACATTGGTGAAGAATGGAGACTGCACCTGCTTTTCTCAAATTGCAGCCAGATGCACTTCATGAGTCTGCTCTCCAAAACCGACGCTACTCATTGGCATGATCAGCATTTCTCGTCCAGGAGCACCATGAGCGCACGAAAAGAAAGTCTACCAGCAGAACATGACCACGAACCTCGTGAGGCTCGACTATAAAACCTTCTGCTCGCGACTGGAGTACTCTTCCTTCAACACACTACTTCTTCCTCTTTTTTCTGAAACAGTGCGAACAAGATGCTATGGAGACTGCTTTCTCTTTCCAAAACTAGCCAAGGACATTACCATGTTCTGTCCTTCCCGTCCAGCCACTGCGCCGAGCTTGCCTCTACCAGAACCAATCGTTGACGACTACCATGTGGATGCCGCCACAACAAGCTCTACATATAAAACCCTTCTGCGGTCACCGAACTATTCTTCCTACATCCTCCATCCTCCTCCTCTTTTTACCAAAAGCGCAGGTCTGGCAGCTCATGGAGACTGCGCCTCTCTTCCAAAATTTGACCGCAAACATCTCATGTGTCCTGGCCCTCTCCGCGAGCCATACCAACCGTACCAAAATATCATCAAAAGCTCTACACTCTACCGAACACCCAGAGAACCCTGCGACATGTGTGAGCGCCCTCGTCGTCGCTATACTATAAAACCTTCCACCAACACGCCTTCTTCCTTCCTCTTCATCCACCACTTCCCTCCTCTTTCTCCAAAAGCTGCAAGTGAAAAGCGATGGAGACGTCTGCTCCTTCCCAAAAATTGCATCAGATCAAAGCGATGTGTTCGGTCTTGCCCTCTCTGCCTCTTTTCTCGAAACTCGAAACAGCGCGCGACGCTTGACATGCGAGCATCGATCTCCAAAGTGAGAATAAGGAGAAAGCATGAGATCGAAAATGACCACCAAAGAAGCCAATGGCTGTCTGTGTGGGTGCTGTGTTGCGATATCGAAAAAGTGAAGACATAGGAGCATGAACAAGAAATGGAGAAGGGAGATGATCATGGGATATAAAAGCCACAATCTAAATTGCCATGGTCTTCTTCTTTCTTCTATCCTTCTCTTGTACACCAAAGCAGCACCTGCACCCGAAGATGGAGATCTGGTTCATGATGTGTCTAAAATTGAGAGACAAGATTTTCATGTCTGGACTTCGGTGCTGGCGATTCTTCATTAGTCCGTCGTATGCGTGTGAGGTGAGGCACCTAGGAAGTGGCGAGCGCTGCGGAGTGCGAAAGTGATGGTGATGACGATCATCATCACGCAACTCAAGCACCCGAAGATACGAAGGGTACCTCGCTGATCGTAGGAGTGTATTTCATAGGGTATACCGCACTACCACCTTACTACCATCCCATCCCATCTTTATCAACACCCGCCGTGAACTGCCATCATCCATCATGAATCAAAACGCCATATCGCTATGCAAACCACTTCATCCACACGCCCTCCCCTCACCCATCTGCCTCCCCCATCACAGCCGTCCAACCCCCATCCTAACCCCCCAATCCCCCCGATTAAACCTCTTCAAATCACCTCCCGCCCTCTTAAACCTCTTCATCTCCCACCTTTCCTTCTTCTCAAACTCCTCCGTCGCGTGTCTCTTCCTTACATCCCTTACATCCGCTTTACTAACCCCACTGACACCACCACTGCCACTCTTACCACCCGAACTAGCCATACCAACCCCAGCGTCATGCACCACCATTGCGTCTTCCCAACTAAACGAAAACTCTCTGAAGAGAGGGTGAGTTTGGTTGTTGGGCTGTATAGCAGCGAAGGGGTTTTGTGTTGAGAATTTGAGGAGGTCGGGGGTCTCGGTGTCGGGTTGTGTTGTTGCTGCTGTTCCACACATCGCTGTAGCAGGATCGGGGTGGGTATTCCGTTTCGACGTCACAGTCGTGAACGGATCTGTATCCTCTCCGTTCTCCTTCTCGTTCGGCGTAGAAACAGGCGGTGTACTTCCCCCCGGCACAGCAAAAATCCGTTTCGGCGGTGGGGAGTCAAGCTGCATTCCATCGCCCAGTCCCTTAATCCCAAAGATATTACCCTGTCTCCTTGACTCAGGCACCTTACTCCTCCTCACCCCACCCCTCTGCCCCGTCACGGCATCGTCCTCAGTCCCACTCTCCGCATCTTGAGTTACACCTCTCCCCCTCCTATTCTCCTCATCCTCACTCTTCATGCGCGTGAGTTTAGGTCCTGACGGCGTAACTTTAACCCGCTCTGTCTCCTTCCCTTTCGAGTGTTGTTTCGCGATGGGTTGGTCTGGTTCTGTGGTTTTGTCTTCGCCTCGCATCTGCGCCTCCCTAACGCTCCCCTCAATCTCCCTCGGCACACTCGCATGAATATCCGTCATAAGCCTCGCGCGCCTACAATACCCCTCCCAGTCCTCCGTGGCCAATTTCCCCGCTGCTTCGTTCAGCGCGCTCGCCGGATTCGGCTGGATTAACAAACAAGATATTGTAACTAGGACATCCCTCAACTTCAACTCGCTCCTCCAGTCCCTCTTCAGCGTCTCGACACACACCGCCCCAGT